TGCAAGCCCAACCACAGTCCACCCTGGAAGTGTCCATGCCATGCCTCTTGCCCCACAGGTCAGCAATCGCAGCTGGGCTCCAGGGCTACAATGCCACCCTGCTGGGAATACTCATGGCTGTCTTTTCAGACATAGGAGACTATTTCTGGTGGCTGTTACTCCCCATAATTTCTATGTCCATGACTTGGTAAGTTGTACCTGGCTTTCAAAATGCCTTTAAAAAAATTATGGGAGGAGAAGGGAACGGGAGTTACTGTGTAGTGAGAGCACAGTTTCAGTGTCATAAGATGAAAAAATGTTCTGTGAATGGCTGGTAGTGATGACTGCAGAGTGTGAATGCCCTCAGTGTCACTCACTTGCATGCTTTAATGGGTAAAACAGCACATTTTATGATATGTGTACTTTACCACAATTTTTTAAACAATAAAACAATTTTTATGTGCATTGGATACAGAAGTAACCATTTTAAGAGATGTGCATTTCCTTACAACCAGGTCTTACATCTGATTTCCCACAGAGTCACTAATACCTTCCCCTTCACCAGAGGTTCTCAACAATGGTGCACACTCATGCCTGGGGGCGGGGGGTCATCAACACACACTGATGATAGGACCCCACTCCTCCTGAGATTCTGATGTGATTAGACTGCACGCTGCCCCGGCACTGGGAGTTTTCTAAGCTCCCCAGCTGGTCCTAGAGGACCGACAAAGACTGTGTGCTGTGGCTCACACCTACAATCCCAGCACTTTAAGAAGCCAAGGCAGGAGGATCACTTGAGACCAGAAGTTTGAGGCTGTAGTGAGCTGTGATCTCACCACTGCCCTCTAGCCTGGGTGACAGAGTGAGACTCTTCCTCTAAAAGGAAAAAAAAGGTACAGCCAAAATTGAACCCCACTTCCTACATCGGTAGTTCTCACACTTGAACAATATCAGAACCACCTGGTGGGGCTTGTTAAACCACAGGTATCTGCTCCCACAACCCAGGGTTTCTGATTCTGTTCTCTTGGAGTGGGGCCTGAGAATTCCCTGGTGACCCTGATGAAGGACCATCCCCCCATTCCCATCCCCTTTCAAAAATAGTTATTTTACTAAATTTAATTCCTTTATTTTTCAAACCTAAATCTTATAAAATAATTTCTATGCTGACCTTCCCTTAAATCCTTTTTCTGGCAGTAAACATTTCCTTTGTTCTATATTGTATTTAGAACACACATATCGGATACTAGTATGTGCGCAAATGAGAAGCATCTGCAGAAAGGCCACCCATCCTGGCTGCACCCAGGAAGTGACTTGGGACCTGCTCTGAAGGACAAGTTCAAGGGCAGGAGGCCCTGCCCACAGAGGCTCATGGGTGCTCACCACACCTGGTCCCACAGTCCAGGAAATCTGGAGATCTGGGTCAAAAACTGAGAGCCACACTAGGGCTTGGGGATCTTGTAATCCAACCCCCACTCTCACCCCCCCTAATTATAAGGCAAGGAAAACTGGGGAGAAAAGTGCCTTGCCTGAGATCATGCAGCTTATCAACAGCTTAAGGACACAAACTCTGCCCCCAGATCCAACTATAAGATTTTTTTCCTCCAGCCCATATCACCTGCATCCTTCTTTGAACAGTTGTTTCTCTTTTCCAAAAATAAATATCACAAAGACACACAGAAATGATATATGTCAAATTCGGGATGCCGGTTGCTTCCAGTGTGGAGGAGAAAGCATAATATCAAGTGGAGTTACCCAGGGGGCCTTAACGATACAGATATTTTATTTTGTATGTCTTAGGTTTTTCAAAAAATAGTTTGAAAATCTTCACCTGTATCACTCCCTGAGCAATCCCAGAACATAAGTTTTCAAAAGCCAAATAAGAGAAGAGTTGATTTTTTACTTTATGTAAGAACTATCCCAGGATTCATCCTAGGTTTATCTTCTGTGGAAAGTCTGGCAACACCACACTTAAGGGATACATTGGCAAATGAAACAAAATCCTGCTATAGTACAGAGAGATTCTGTTTGTCTGCCTGGCTTGTCACATGCATATTCTTCTCTGTTCTTTTTTCAGTCCAGTTTTCTCAAGTGCATTGAACTCTGTGCTGGGCAAATGGGACCTCCCTGTCTTCACGCTCCCTTTCAACATGGCATTGTCCATGTACCTTTCGGCCACAGGACATCACAATCCATTCTTTCCAGGCAAACTGTTCACACCTGTAAGCGCCATTCCAAATGTCACCTGGTCTGATCTCCAAGCCCTGGAGGTAAGATACACTATCTTCACTTTCCCCACTGCCTCTGGAAGGAACGCAGTGGCCCTCTGGTTAATTGTCCATGGGTATCAGAGTCCCCTAGATGGTCAGCTATAGGGTGGCCTTTCTGCCTTATCTTGACATCTCAAGCATTTGTTCTATTCAGAGATTTGGAGTCTAAGGGATTTTTAATTTTTTTTTAAATGACAGGGGAGAAGTTATTTGATCAATTTCTAATTTCTCCCATTTTCCCTAAATATCTACAGTACTAACTCTCAAGAACTGGGTGTTTCCTCTCAGAGCTCATTCCAGAACTTCTCCATTCTGCTTTTTCTTGTGGTTTTTCTCATAGAACATATACAATAATCTAGGATTCTCAAGCTTTGGTAGGGGTCAGGACCAGCTAGGGAGTTTTTAAAGTACCAAAGCAGGCTTCATCTTAAGACTCTCTAAATCATGATCTCTGGGGTGGAGCCTGAGAACCTATATTATCCCCAAATTGTGACATGGGCCCAAGTTTGAGAACCACCGTGTCACAGCTTGCCCACTACGTATTTCTTAACAGATGGGCCCAGAGAGATCACGCAGTTTTAAAAATCTGGCTAACGAGCTCTTCCTGTTGGTGTTCATTTAATAAATCTGTTTAAGTTTTCTTGATTACTGAGAACAAGAGACACTTGAAGTTAGAAGAAAACCAAAAGAAACCCTACCTCTTGGATGCGCGAAAGACTGGCTCTCCCACTCCCCTGTGCTGTCTTCTTTGCTGAGCAACCAAAACCCAACAGGAGCTCCAGGAGCCTTTTCTTTAGCTCTTGCCCAGAAAATGAGGGGGAGCATTTAGACATAATTCAGAAGGAAAAATCAAAGATTTATTAGAACTACCCATGAAAAATATTATAAAATAGCATTAATCTATCTAGAAATGCAGTGTCTTATATAAGATCCAGTAGCCCTGTGTGGCTATTTACATTTAGAGGCAAATTAGTTAAGAATTTAGTTTCTCAGCCTCACTAGCCACATTTCAGGTGCTCAATAGCCATACATAGAGACTATCTACTGTATCAGACAGTACAGCGATAGACTACTCTGTCATCTCAGAAAGTCGCATTGGATGGTCCTGATCTGGGCCAGAGGGGTCTTGTCTTTCTCCTCACCCTGAACCACCAGCCCATCACCAGCACACTTATTTGCCATCTCATCCAACTTCCCACCCCATGGTGACTGAAGGGATAGTCCTGCTATCAAGTTCTGAGATAAAAGCTGTCTTTGCCCAGTTCCCTGAGCTAGAGGAAATAGGAAATGATCTTGTGTAGACATTAAGACCCAACACAGGCTAGAAAAATTTAGAGCCCATCTTCAGGTAGAGTCAATGTAACACTGTGGTCTCTGTACCAAGCCAACATCCAGAAGCCAGTCATAGGCCCAGCCTCCTATAAGAGGGCAGAGGACGCTTCCCCTTGTGCCAAGGCTGGGGTTCCTTCCTGGGCAGAGTCACTGCCCAGGACCCCTATGTCTTCCTGGGCAGAGTCACTGCCTCCAGAAGGTCCTTGCCAGGAGGTAACATACAACCAAGAAATGGAGGTGTGGGCAAGATGCCTCTGGGGAAGGCATCTTTCAGTTAACAGTCTTGCTCAAGAAGGAAATATCATGGGTAGCTATACCTGTGCTGGCCCTACCAAACGTTTTGTTATAAAGAATTATCATTTGTTAGCTTAAGTCAAACCCTGTGCCTTCCTGAGAACTGCCATTCTGTGAACACATGAGCCAAATTCAGGCCTCAACCAGAAAGTAGAATTGTGACATTTGCATGTATTTTTGTATTTTGAGAACTGATTGACAGTTATTAGTAACTGAAAAAAAGCTATAGCTATCTTGGCTTAATACGCATTCACTTAACAACAGAAGAATAAATATGGCCTTGATTCATGAACTTGCCAAGAATTGCTTCTACATTGTAAGTGAAGTAACCCAGCTTCAGGTCTCAGCCTTAGTGTAAGCAACCAAACTGCATGGTAGTGATAATATTTCTTTTGAACGTAGGGAGGCATTGATGGTTTACCTTGGGCACTGATGGATAAGTGAAGGCACAAGCAGTGTCAGCTGTGGTCCCTGCCATCCTCAGTGGGAAGTGTGGCAGATCCTCACAGCCAGGAGCTTATCAGTGGCCAGGGCCAGTGCCAGTGCAAGCAAAGGAGCCAGTGAACATAGGGAGAGTTTCAGAAAGGCTTGTTCAGTGTGCACCAGGGAAGGGCTGGTATATCTCTGGGGTTAAAGATGAAAAATGACGGGGATTTTCCTGTAATCCAGGAGGGAGAGAGAGAGAATTTTTTTAAGGAGTATCACTCACCTTGAAAGATAAGGCATGTTCAATCTAAAATTACACTGTATGAGTTTGTGGGTGTCCTTTGGGTTCCTATTCAGTTGTTTTAGTGGCCTTGTTTTTTTTTTTTTTTTTTAATTTCCTTTGCAGTTATTGAAAGCTGTGCCAGTGGGGGTTGGTCAGATATTTGGCTGTGACAACCCGTGGACTGGGGGCATTTTCCTAATTGCCATCCTAGTCTGCTCCCCGCTCATGTGCCTACATGCTACAATCGGGTCGCTGATGGGCATAGTGGCAGGTAAGCATAGGACTCCTTTCCAAGCATTGAGCGCTGCCTCTGTCCCATGCATTGTCTGAGGCATCTTCTATACTCCAGATCTTTCTTGAGGTCTCTGCTGCCTAGGGACCAAGGGGAGGTCTCAGAATGCTTCCCCTTACCCTCCAACCCTACTTTAATCCAAAGCTCTGACCCTTCCTGTCTTGCTTAACAGGACTCAGTCTTTCAGCTCCATTTGAAGACATCTATTTTGGACTCTGGGGTTTCAACAGCTCTCTGGCCTGCATTGCAATAGGAGGAATGTTCATGGCACTCACTTGGCAAACCCACCTCCTGGCTCTTGGCTGCGGTGAGTATCCTGCGCATCTTGGAGTAGGGTTGCTCGTGACCTTGGGGTCAAAATCAGGGACAAGTAACAAGCAGTAACAAAGGACTGCATGAGAAGTTGGGGCTGGGATTCTAGTTTGGGTCCATTTTCTACCTATCTATATGAACAGAACAGTTGACATCCCCTCTCTGGGAGTATTAAAGTCACCTTGGTTGCTGTGGAGACAGGAGCCTGTTGAGTTGTATCAAACAGTCTAAAATATGTATATTGGGCAGATAGAAACTTAGCTTGCCTGTGTTCTTCCTAGTATTTGACCCAAAAATCTCAAAGGAAACAACTCAAACTAAATACAGACCCATGTCCCCTGGAGAATCAGGTGGGATAACATGTGGCCCTTAGAGTCACATTAATCCAGCTATTTTAAGAACTTGAGTGTGCATCAGAATCACCCAAAAGGCATATTAAAATGCAAATTTCTGGGCCTCATTACCAGTTTTTGATTCAATGTTATGGATGGGGAAAGAATTTACATTTCAAATACATTATTCCCAGGCTGATACTGTCTTTCGGGGGACACATTTCGAGAAGTGGTGTGTTCATCCTTTCTCACTCCCTAAAATTCTAGCCGGACACAGCCTGTCAAGAGCTAGAAGGCATTCTGGAGACCTCCACTCCATCCTTTTCATTTCACTGTGGGTACTGAGGCTGGAAAGGTTAAGAGATGTACTGGTGGCCATCTAGTCAGTTAGGGGTATATCCAAACCTAGAGTCCACTTTTACCAACAGCCCCCTACATTACACTACCTGCTTCCCTTTTGTAGCATTCAGGCCATTATAGCAACAACTCCTTAGGCTAAAACAGACATCACACAATTTAGATCTGAAAAGCTAATGGATTTCCCCAGCTGATCATAAAAGGAGGCTTATTAGCCCACAGCCTCTGGCATTCCTAATTCAATACAAGTAAAAGCATTTAGCATAATGTTCTGGAGTAGAGTGAATGACATTCCCTTGGGAACAGAAGGGCACAAGGATTAGTGGAATACAGAGAAATTATTTCTAAGTTAGTAAAAATATATGTCTAGAGTCAATTTATCTCCAGATTAATCAAGCCCAGGTATTTTAAGTTATTAAAATGGTCCACCACTGTCAGGAAGAATCTAGAATGGGCCCCTGCATTGGCAGGAAATGGATGGATCCAAGGGTTTCTAAACCCTCATTCAATTTTGACTTGAAGCTCTAGCAAGGTTACAACACTCAGGTTGTTCTGGTATTGCCGTTTAGATGTCATTTGGTCAATCTTTTCACAGTGACAGCTATTTCACCTAAGAGTACTACTTTGTGCTCTTTTCCTTATTTGTTCATAAACTTAGGGTGAAGGAGAGGGTAGGTTCTGTGGCCATCTGAGCTTAGCTGGATTAGAATCTTTTTTTTTTTTTTTTTTTTGAGACAGAGTCCGGTACTGTCTTTGGGCTAGAGTGCCATGGCCCCGACCTAGCTCACAGCAACCTTGAACTCCTAGGCCCAAGCAACCCTCCTGCCTCAGCCTCCCGAGTAGCTAGGACTCCAGGCACCCATCACAACATGCCCAGCTAATTTATCTATTTTTAGTAGACACAGGGTCTTGCTTTGCTCAGGCTGGTCTCACCTTTCTGGCCTCATGCAATCCACCCACCTCAGCCTCCCTCCCACAGTACTAGGATTATAGCTGTGAACCACCCCACCTGGCCTGAATTAGTATCTTTTATTCTACAAACTGCCACCTTTACTCTGAGATGGGTTTGGGGTTTCAAACCTTTATTTGGGTTGCATACCTTTTTTTTTCTGTAGGCAGTAGCAGCAAATATACACTAAGCACTCATGATACTGTTCATAAAGTATTAGGAGGAGCAAGGGGTGTGGAAGCGATAGGTCCCCTCTGATTCCTGTGGACAGTGTGCCAGGTGAGGGAGGGAGCCCAGGGAAGGCCATGCAACTCTGAGAGCTGAATAAGGAGAAATCTATAGTACGTGATTCTCTGGGGGAATATTATCAGTTCAAAATCAAGTACCTCCTGGCTTTTCTGTAAATCCTAAAAAAATGAGAGAAGGAATTCTGTTTGATGGAAAAGATGGTACAGGTGAGCATGGGGACAGCCTGAGGATATCCTTTAAGAATCAATCAAACTATTGTGGGCACAGGCGGTACATTGATGAGCTTTGACAGACCATGGAGAGGGATAAAGCCAAACATGTTTGCATATGTGTCTCCCAAAGGGAGGATATCTTTATTATTTCCTTAAATATATTATTTTTAATTACTTGTTATTTTCCCTATTATAGAAGAGTGCAGGTTTATCATATGAAACAAAACAAATAGTCAGAATAGGAAAATGTAAAGCAGAAGGTGAAAACCTCTGTCCTACCCCAGTTTCCTCAGCTCCCTTTTGTAAAGACTCTTGTGATCACACCAGGTCCATTCAGAAGTGCAGGGCAACCTCCAAATCAAGGTCGTTAACTAATCACAGCAACAAAGTCCCTTCCGCCATCTGTAACAATTCATAGGTTCTGAGATTAAGACCTGGGCATCTTTGGGAGGTCACTGTTCTGCCCACCACATCTGCCTCCCTTTGGATAGATGGGATTTTCATTACCAATGTAGCATAATGGTCAAAGTAATGGTCAAAGCAGTGTATTGAACTAGTTCAGGCCTCAGACCCTGGTGCCAGGCTGCCTGGATTCAAATCCTAGTTCTGCTACTTACTAGCTTTATGAACTTAAGCAAATGACTTAACTTTTCTTTTTTTTATTTTATTGTTTTTTTTATTAAATCATACCTATGTACATTAATGCAGTCATGGGGTACAATGTGCTAGGTTTACATACAACTTGAAATGCTTTCATCAAACTAGTTAACATAGCCTTCACAACATTTTCTTAGTTATTATGTTAAGACATTTATATTCTACACCTAGTATATTTCACATGTACCCTTGTTAGACACACCGTAGGTGTGGTCCCACCAATTACTCTCCCTCCACCGAACCCCCCCCTTCCCTCCCCTCCCTCTCCCCTTTCCTCATCTTCTTGGGCTATAATTGGGTTATAGTTTTCATAAGAACATTATAAATTGGTTTCATAGTAAAACTGAGTACATTGGATACTTTTTCTTCCATTCTTGAGATACTTTGCTAAGAATATGTTCCAGCTCCATCCATGTAAACATGTAAGAGGTAAAGTCTCCATCTTTCTTTGAGGCTGCATAATATTCCATGGTGTACATATACCACAATTTATCAATCCAATCATGGGTCGATGGGAACTTGGGCTTCTTCCATGACTTAGCAATTATAAATTGGGCTGCAATAAACATTCTGGTACATATATCGATCCTACAGTTCCTCTACTAGGTATATATCCAGAAGATTTAACTTTTCGGTGCTCAGTTTCCCCATCTTAAAAAATGAGGAATTCAATTAGTCGATTGTGTGTAGAAAGCACAAGAAATGCGGACAGTGTCTAGCTCTTGTAAGCACTGGTTAAGGGTCTGGAAAAAACCTTTCTTGGGTAGCTTTGGGGCTTTGTGTAACTTATTCAGACTCCAGCTTGTTTCTTCACCCCTCTCAATTTCTCTGCATCTTCTCCCCCAATGTGACTAACACTTCGGCCTGCTTTTCTTCCACCTCCTCAGAACTGCTGAAACAATTGATATTGTTTGCAGTTTTTATTCTGGATTTGTTGTAAGTAGATGCTTTTAGTTTTTGGTACTTGCTTATTTAGGGAATCATCAGCTTTTTATTAACTTGCTTATTCATTCCTACCCCCATCGCTCAGATTAGCCTTCTGTGTTTCTGTGTCTCCTTGCCGGATGGACTTCTTCAAAGAGGGTTTCAAAGGTTTGATGAGGTAAACCTTCCAAGGCCCTGAATGCCGGAGAATGTCTTTATTTCACCCTTGTTTAAATTTTACTTTAGCTGGCTACAAAACTCTAGATTGAATTTTTGTCTCTCCATACTTTGAAAATTGTCTTCAAATACTACTCCATTGTCTTCTTAAACGCCAGATGCTATTAAGATGTCTGAAAATTATCTGATTCTTTTAGAGGTGACTTTATTTTTCTCTGTAGACTCTTAGAATTTTTCTCTTTACATATGATATGTATATATTTTTTTCAGTAATGTCTGTCTAGATGTGGATTTTCCCTTTTCTGTGCCACTAGGTATTCAAGTCCTCTCACTGTGAGCCCTCCCATCTTTCTTTAATTCTGAGATATCAGATTTTAATGTCGCAAACATTTTCTTTCCAATTGTTTTTCCCTCGCATTCTGGGACTTCTGGTATGTGAATGCAATACTTTTATGTTAATTTTTTCATAACTCTTGACTTTTTCTTAATATTTTCCATCTCTTTGTCCCTTCACGGGGGCCTTCAAGTGAAGCTGATCAACTGGATCACTCTCTGGCTCTGTCCTTTGTGTTGACTGTGAGTTTTTCACTTCACTCAGTTTGTTAACTGAGCTCTGCTGCCTGTCGGTTGTTCAGTCAGTTGTCCTTCTTTTACGGTGTTTGCTCTCCTCAGATGCCCCCTTGCCTTGTCCTGGAAGCTTTCATTTCCTAAGGGATATCAATTAAGTCTCTGAGCAGGGAGTGGAAGCCCAGGGCTGGGCTGGCACCTCTCCTGGTGCATCTAAGAAGTCAGGGGAGGAGCAGGAAGCGCTACCTGGCAGGGTGAAGAGCCGCTGCTGTTCAAGGCAGCAGAGATGGCCAGTGTGTACATACGTCACATGACAAGTGTCCACTTGCTGGGAGGAGTTCAGATGACTCTAGTTTGATGCTATTACCCACAGTGCTGCAAGAAACATTTTTGGTACAAGTGTCCTTGTGTACTTTGTACAACTACTTCTATAAGATATATTTCTAGAATCCAAATTGATAAGTCAAAGGAAATGGCAATTTAAATTTTTATACATAACAAATTCATCCTCCAAAGGGCCATACCAATTTCCACTGCTACAAACAGTGTGTGACGGGTCCCATTTGGTCCCCACTGGGTTCTATCAGACTTTTTAATCTCTGTACAGGAATGCTTGAGACAGACCTCCAGCCCTTCTCAGAAAGCATATCTCACATGTAGAATGCCACAGCAAGTTTCAGCTTGTTCCCATCACCTTGATACTACCAAACAAAAGCCCAGCCTTGTCAGCCAAGGTAAATAAATAACAGACATTTATTACAGAGCTGTTCTTTTATTAGGCCCAAATGTCTTTATCAGGAAGTGGACTTAGGAAACTCTGATAGAACCTGGCAGTGCTGCCTTCCCAGACCCTAAACCAGAAATTTCATGGCCTGGGAATATCTCAGTGTCATTGTTTTATCAATAGAAGCTATAAACATATTATGTATCTCTTTTCAATGGCTGGGTTATCATAGCAATACTCATACGTGGCAATCTGTTGGAAGGGACAGTCTCAGTGAACAGCTGAAATCCAGCCTTCCCTTCAGCACCCAAGGCTTTTTCTTTCCCTCAGCTACCAAAAATTGCTGCCAAGGTTATTGTCTACAAACTGATCATGGTGTTCAGAATTTCCCCTCTAATATAAGGTCTTCCCAATCTTGCTCAGTGAGTCTTAATTGATGGTTACCAACCATTAACTATAATAATAGTGTGACACCTTTACTATGGAAAGAAAAGCAACTTAACATAGAAAATCACTTCAGAACAACATAACAGCATGAGACATAAAAGTGCCCAAAGTGAGCCTTAGAAGTATAACAGGTATCTAAAAAGGAGTGATATCAATAAGGTCTCAGGTGCTCAGGGGTGCCAGGGATGGTCCTCAAGAGAGCAAGGACAGAGTGTCCCCAGTGCTTAGCAGAGGCCCAGTGTATAGTTACTTAATTAATTCATTTTTTAATGAATGAAATTGATGAAATCAAGGAGAGAAACCCTTCTAACCTAGGCCATGAGCAACCTTCTGTTTAGAGCTCTATCCCAATCCCAAGGTGAAAGGAAAGCGTTTACAGCTGCAGTTTTTAGAATTATGTGAACTCAGTTGAGATTCATCACCTCTGTAAAGCAGATCTTCCAGTTGCCTTTTTAGGGATAATGAAACTAGACTTAATAGTTATACAATAAATAAGATGGCAGGGCTAGAATATGAAACCAGTACTGTTTCCAAAGTTTAGCCCTTCCCACTAGCATGAGACAATTCAGATATGAAAGAATTCATTATACTATCGAAGAAGAAATACCAAAATGAAAAGAAAAAATATCAATAAAAGGACAGAAGTCTGCAGAACAAAGTATTAATAAGTGATTCCCAGCTTTTCCTGCTGTACTCCATACCCTTAGATAGCTGATGTGATTTCTCGCCAGACTTGAAGACTAGATGGTGAGTGTGTAACAGTGAGCTTGGGTGGACCAAGTGGCTGTGTGGCCATTGTGTGCAGGACACTTTTCAGGCTGTCCCTGTGTCATCTAAGGGCTTCCCTGAGCCTCCTTAGGCCCCTCCTCAACCAAAACCAAGGAACTGATTGTCATCCAGTTGAGATCTTTTTGTTGTTTTACACTGAAAGTAATTTTTTTATTCAGTGTAAATAAAAACATGTTTATTCACTGACATTAATAGTATTTAGAAAAAAGTTATTATGAGGAGGAATCTCAAGTTTGTATTCTATTTCTGCTGTTCTCTTCCTATGTTCATATTACATTTTTTTTAGTATATGTGCTCCCAAAGCGAGCTCTATACTATGGTTTCTTTGGAGCTGTGAATTCTGACCATTATATGAGAATCCTAGATGTGGTGAGATTGTATAACAACCATGCTATCTCAAGAAACATTCATAAGTTTCATTTTAATTCGATTATACTTGGATAAATAACAGGGAAGTGTATTTGTCTTGGAAAACTTTTAAGTATTAGCAGTAATAACAAAATAGGAACCACAAAAAAATCTCCCTTTATAGAGCCTTTACTGAGTGCTAAACATAAACATTATTTCCTCTTGTACTCATACCAACGCTATGAGAGAGAGATTTTTTTTATTTCAGAATATTACAGGGGTACACACATTTTGGTTACATAAGTTGCTTTTGTACATTTTAGGCCAAAGGTATAAGTGTGCCTTTCACCCAGAATATGTGCACTGCATTAGTCAGGTATGAATTTACCCATCCTCTATTCACCCCTACACCCTACTTGATTTCCATTGAATTTTACTCCCTTATGTGCAATACATAAGTATTGATCAACTATTTCCAACTTAGTATTGAGTACATGTGGTGTTTTTGATTTTCCATTCTTAGAATACTTCACTTAGAAGAATGATCTCCAGTTTCATCCAGGTTGTTAATAAAAGATACAAAAACACCATATTTTAGGTCTGAGTAGTATTCTATGGTATACATGTACATAGTTTATTAATCCACTCATGTTTTGATAGGCATCTGGGTTGTTTCCACATCTTTGCAGTTGATAATTGTGCTCCTATAAACATTCAAGCGCAAGTGTCTTTCTGATAAAATATCTATTTTCAGTACCTTGTTGTAGGATTGCTGGATCAAATGGTAGGTCTACCTTTTGGTTCTTTGAGGTATCTCCATATGACTTTCCATAGAGGTTGACTAGTTTGCAGTCCCACCTATAGTGAATGATTTTTCTTTTCTCTCTGCATCCACCCCAGCAATTGCTGCTTTGGGATATTTCGATATGAGCCATCCTCATCAGAATTAGGTGACACCTCATATTGGCTTTGAAAATTTACATTTCCCTTATGATTACAGATATTGAACATTTTTTCATGTTTTTGTTGGCCATCAGACTATCTTCATCTAAGTTTTCTATTCATGTTTTTGCCCACTTTTTAAGGGTTTTTTTTTTACTTTTTGTTTTGCTTGAGTTCTTCATAGATACCCTTTATTGAATGTGTAGCATGCAAATATTTTCTCTCATTTTGTAGTTTGTCTATTTACTCTAGTGATTGTGTCCACAGCTGTGCCGAAACTTTTTAATTTCATCATATCACATTTATTTGTGTTGTTGCTGTGATTGCTTTGGGGATCTTCTTCATAAGTTTTTTTCCCTAGGCCAACACTTTTTTCTAGAATTTTTATTGTTTCATGCCTTAGGTTTAAATCTCTTATCCATTATAAGTTAATTTTTTGTGAGTGGTAAGAGGTGATGATACTGTTTCAGTCTAACATGTGGCTATCCAATTTTCTCAGCACCATTGATGGAAGAGGGATTCTTCCCCAGTGTATGTTTTTGTCTGGTTTATCAAAGATCAGATAGGAATATTAGGATGGTTTCATGTCTGGGTTCTCTATTCTGATCCATAGGTCTATGTCTTTGTTTTTGTGCCAGTACCATACTGTTTTGATTACTATAGCCTTGTAGTATAGTTTGAAGTCTGGTAAGGTGATGCCTCTCAATTTGTTCTTATTATGTAAGGTTCCATCAGCTCATTAGGGTCTTTTCTGGTTCCAAATAAAACATAGAACTGTTTTTCCTAGATCTGCCAAAAAAAATGATATTGGTACTTTAATTGAATCTATAAATCACTTTGGATAGGATAGCCCTTTTAACAATGGTGATTCTGCCATCCAGCATGGTTTGTTTTTCCATTTGTTTACATCCTCTATGATTTCTTTCCTCAGTGTTGCATAGTTGTCCCTATGGAGATCTTTCACTTCCTAAGTTAAAGATATTCCTAGGTATTTTATTTTCTTTGTTGCTAATATGAAAGCTGTTGCTTCTTTAATTTAATTCTTAGGTTGACTGTTGTTAGCAGATATATGAAAGCTACTGATTTGAGTACATTGATTTTATAAGCTGAGATTTTTCTGAATTTATCAATTCCAGGAATCTCTTGGTTGAATCTTTGTGGTTTTCAAGATATAAGATCATATTATCAGCAGAGTGATGGTTTGACCTCTTCTTTCCCCATTTTCATCTCCTTGATTTCCTTCTCTTGCCTGATTGTTCTGGCGAGGACTTCCAGCACTATGTTGAAGTGTTAAAAGTGGGCACCCTTATCTGGTTCATGTTCTAGGCAAGACTGCTTTCAGTTTTCCCCGTTCAATATGATATTGGCTATATAGGTTTCTCATACATAGCTTTTATAATTTTGTAGTAAGTACTATCTATATTGATTTTGTTAAGCATTCTTATCAGGAAAGGGTGCTGAATTTTGTCAAATGTTTTTTCTATGTCAGTTGAAAAGATCATATGGTCTTTCTTTTTGCATCTATTTATGTGGTGAATTACATTTATAGATTTGTATATGTTGAACCATCATTGCATCTCTGGGATGAAGCCCACTTGGCCATGGTGTTGTTTATCACTTCCCTTGTATAAGGGAGGAAATGGAAAGTTAGGACAGAGTCCACTGAGCAAGTGGTAGAGCCAAAATTTGAACCCAACTCTAGGCTCATTATCATAACCACGGTGCTGGGCTATTTGGTCAGAGGCACAAGTGTACTTTTCAGGGGATTTGTGTTGGAAGGCAGCCTTTCCTGTGATTCAAAGTGCATTGAACAAGTATTGTTCTTTCCTCTTTTTTGTAGCCCTGTTTACTGCCTACCTGGGAGTCAGCATGGCAAACCTTATGGCTATGGTGAGTTTGCTTTAATCTCACTTTATAATTATCATAATAGACCAGCTTCCAATTACATTGAAAACTTATCTGAAGCCCACCTGGGTGGTGTCCAGTGGCAGGATCCATGGCTGGAGTCAGCACCACCCTCCTTCCACTGGAGTTCCTGGCCTCTTTTCCAACATCTCAGTAAACTTTAGTCCAAACTATAATGACCTGGCATGTCCCAAATATCAGATTGCTTGGTTTAAAGAATAATGAAACTTAGATTATATAACATATTATCATAGTCTCTGAGTGATAAGAAGTTGACTTTAGAGCATCATTAACTTAAACAGAAAGCCAGGACTATATAATCATTGATAAATCAGGCATGTCCCAAATATCAGATTGTTTGGTTTAAAGAATAATGAAACTTAGATTATATAACATATTATTATAGTCTCTGAGTGATAAGAAGTTGACTTTAGAGCATCATTAACTTAAACAGAAAGCCAGGACTATATAATCGTTGAGAAATCAGGACAGGGAAAAACAAGATAATTGGCTAAAGATCCAGGTATTGCTGTCATTATTGTTGCTAATCCAGTCACTAGTTTTTCATACCTCTTGTCTTTTATTAAACACCCAGTCCTCAGTAAGACTTATCTAGATCCAGGTTTTATTTAATACATTAAATATTAAGTTATGGCTAAGTTATTTAATAGGCAAAGTCTTTTCTTATTAATTGATATTTGGCACTCTTTCTCCTTTACAGCCTTGTACTCCCGCCCTTTCACTTCCTTCCCTTCCCCTGAGAAGTCTGGTCCCCCTAACTGTCCCAGGATTCCTCACCTCTCAATGCCCTAAACCTTTCCTCACCCACCATTGCACGTGATGCAGGGCCAGTTCTGACAGCTCAGTCCATGTTGATGTGGTCATGACTGCTAAAAGGTTAAGGAGGTCTAGCCCTCCTAGAAACAGCATGGAGATTTTATCTTGGAGTTTCCTTAAGGAGACACAATTTCTTCATGGTGGAAAGCCAAAGTCCCATTGCAGGCATGCAGGATGAGAAGCATATCAAAGCATGTGAGGGCCTTCACATTTCAACAAAGAAGGTTTACAGGCATTGGCCCATGGACCAGAATAGGCAAGCTACACAATAGTCACCTCGGGAGACTTTGAAATGCAAATGTCCCCTGCATTTCTGATAGAGTAGGTCTTTATGATGCTTGAGCACCTATATTTTTTTGTGTAACTCCGCCAGATGATTTGTATATGCAGACAATTTAAAGTACCCCTACACGCCATCAGACCTCAGCAGTCCATGCATAGGACCAGAGCTAACCAATAGTGCATGCTCAGAATTCTGAGTTGCCATGGGAGCACAAAGAAGGACTTACCCTCAGGAACTTAAGAGTCTGAGAGACAGAATGGAAAAAGGCAAAGCAAGTAGAGACCAAGACCTAGACTGAGCAGAAGTCAAGGTCAGAGGGGTCACTAGAGGCTGGACTAGTCAGAAAAGGCCTTGTGGATTTGATGAGTGGTCAGTAGCAGTTTGCAAGTGTCATCTCCACATGTTCCAAGTTTCAGCTTTGCACAGCTGGTGTAGAAAGTCTGAATGTATGAGGAGGGAAAGACATGTAAGATAGAGACATAAATGGCCACCTTAAGGATTAGATGAAAATATTCTAACTGCTAAATGTCCCAAGATCTTAGACTCAGTCCCCACAAGCATAAGCAGAACCCAGAGCAACACCCTCAATGATTCATCCCCCTGGGCTGGGAACAAAGTAAGGGTGCCCTGTGCAGCTTCACTTTCAGATGGATCTCAAAGGAGCATTGTCCTGTCTCTTCTCCAGGTTGGACTGCCAGCTTGTACCTGGCCCTTCTGTTGGGCAACACTACTTTTCCTCTTGATAACCACAAAAAACCCCAACATCTACAAGATGCCTCTCAGTAAAGTCACCTATCCTGAAGAAAACCGCATCTTCTACCTACAAGCCAGGAAAAGGACGGCTGAAAGCCCTTTGTGAGAACAACCTTTATCCACAGCCATGGTCATGAGTCATTTCTGACTGACTGCTCCAGTTGACTTCCAGGGTCTTGGCAAACTGTTTTTCACTAGTAACAACTTTCATACTAACCCATCGACAATCTGTTCTTATGCTTATTTTATGTTTTTCTTTTTGCCTCCAGGAATATCCTCAAGCCCTTGGGAGCCACATCTAGGTGATGTGCTCGGGAATGGAATGTTAAACCCTAGTGTGGGGGTTGGCACTAAGACTGTAATGTACATAAAGTCAAAATGCTCTAACAAAAAAAGGAAGTGAGGCCAAAGCTAATGATTGATATTTATTGATATTCTTGGTGTTTGGTTGGCTAGATGATGTCCACAGTATTAAAAATTAAGCTCTATAAACCAACTAAGCCTTAGGGAATTCACAGTCAAAAAATCGAAGTCAGCCCACAATTCTCAGATCAGCAGTTTGGCTTTTTAAAATCAATGCAAGTTACACATTACAGCTGGGCTCAGCATCATGGGGGTGCCAGGCTGATAGCTGAGGTTGTTCCCCAGAATGGTCTCCATACTGCCCCTTGTGTGTACGGCATTCTCATTTAGGAGATGGTTGGAGAGTTTTCAGATTGAGAGCAAAAGGGGTTGAAAGGGATTTTGTCAGTTACAATTACTCATCATTCTATCAGTTTTCTTGGAGATTGCAAAAGATTTTTTAGGGAAAGGGTTTTTTTCTTATGAAAAAGGATTTTTTTTTTCAGTGAAGTAAAATAAGGCATGTTCCTGGCCCAACTTAGTCATTAGCCATTAAAGAAAAGTTACATGCTGTATTAAAGAAATATCCAGCCTAGCTATTTTTACTTTAACCCCTTAATTTGATTTTGTAGATGCCCAAATGCACAGAATCATCATCAACCTGCAGGGTTTTTAAAATTACATTTTTAATTCACTTGATGATGGGATTCTTATAAAAACTGAAGGTTAAGGCCAGATTGCTTATGAGTGTGATTTTTAGAAGTCGATGAATTTCTTACTTAAAAAAAAAAAAACTCATTATTTTCTGCTCACTCAGAATATTTTCTCTCATAAACCGGTGGCATTTGAACCATCTAAAAGAAATATAGGTAAGGAATTTTCCTGTTTTCCTCCTTTTAATATAAAAATTATCAGTTCTATAAAGATTCCATGATCAAGTGTGCTGAAGATGGCACCTTGATCCTTGGTGGCACCTTATGCTCCTTACTTCAGTGGGTATCCACTTAGTATTCTGGAGGTTGGAAAAGTGAAACTTTGGAATCCTGATAATTTTTTCCTTTGGGGGTGTGCAGTGCTCAGCATACAAGGTACTGTTTGCTGAATGACTAAACAGAAATAGGGAAGTAAACCTACAAATATTTTAGAGAGAACATTCATTTCTTCCTCTTCTTAGGAAAACAAACAAACATTGTTCCAATTTTAAAACCCTATGACCAAAGCCTTTTGAATTATGAATTTGCAGCTGTTTGAAGGTTTATAAGATAGCCCTGTGGAAAAACAAAATTTTCAGTGTTTGAACTGAAATCTTCCTTGTGAGGGAATTGGTGAAATAAGAGTTGGAGAAAAGAAAACAAAGCAAAAAATCATAACCAAAGATCAGCAGTGAAGAACCTGGGCTGTAGCTGAGAGAACAAGAGGACTCTAACATGGGTCAACCTGGGTTGACCTTCAGAACAGAGCTCTGACATGCAACCGCAGAGTCTTCTTTTGTGCTCACACAGATTTGTAAATAGAAACATTTTTAAACCATTGTCTGATTTAAATGACATTAAGTCTTTTAAGCTATTTTTGTTACTAAGTATTATCCTAAAACTGAGTGTTCTTAGGGAGAACTTGTATTTTGTCCTATTGTCTATATAACAGATTTCTAGGCAAGCATATGAATAAATTATACTCAGAACTCAGTTTTGTGTAATGTGCCTTTCATAACTATCATGTACATGAATGATCACAGGCTTAAGTGTGTGTAGCTTATATTTCATTGTGCTGGAATCCTTATTCCTTTCTCACACTTGGTAATGACCCCAGATGTATAGGTGAGCAAACCCTGTTCAACTCCACACTGACAGGCCACCCACACCCTCCATGGCCTCTCAGTCATCCACTGTTCTCTTCACTCAGGGATGAGAATGAATTGCTATGGATGGCTGTGTTCAACGCATGCTCCTAACACTTTTCAATCCACATCCTGAGAGCCTCTTCCATGCATTCCCAGATAGGTTCTGGGCACCCCCATCATGTTTGACCCTTGGCCATTGGAGGCTTCAGGGCTCCGCTCTCTAGGACAAACTACTTCTCAAGGCCATGGCCATGCTTGACTCTTCCACCTTCTTTCACCATGGTTAGCATATTTGAAAGAAAACATGGTAAAAATGGAAATTCACTTCAACCACTTTCACCAATGAGTTCCAAAGCAGCCCAAACAGGAAACGAAAGTTTGAGCTACAACGAGGTGCTCCTAGTGAAGTGCCCTCTGTCCTAACAAAACCTCTCCCTCCTATATTTCAAGATAATGAATTTATCAGAATGATCTAGTCATTCAATATGTCTTCTTTTGTCTGAAGAAGAAAAGACAGAAGATTTTGAGTCTCATATGCTAAAGACTCCAGTCACTGTATACATTTAAAAGCTACATGTGCCAATTTTCATGTTACCAATTATACGTGATTAGCATGGGATTTGTTAAGATCAAAGTAGAGTTCCACTGGAGATTGGGGATTTCCAAAGAGGGTTCTTTCAAACAAACTTCCATGTATACATTTTGTAATTAGTAAATAAGCAAGATTTTATTCATAGGAATGTTTTCAGACTTCCCCCTTATATAACTAGTTCCTTCCAAAAGGCTTATCTTTAGAATTTCTTCCCCTTGAACCTGCATTCACAATCCCTGGGTTGGTGAGAAGGGCTTATCACGTCAAAGCTGAAGAGTTTCATTTGCTAAATCAATCACCAAAGCACAGCCCAAAGGGACCTCAGGCTCAATGAATATAGTAAATAATATACATTCAAAGAAAGGAACTTAAGTATAGGCTTCTCTCATGACTCTTAAAATTAAACTATAAAATAGATACAATGGAAAAGACATGCAAAGTCACTTTAAAGAGGAAATTGCTCCTAGGACTGACCTAACCTTAGTATTAAATAAGCATGAACATATCCAAAGCAAGCTTGTGTCAATCTGATGGGGTAGCAGTTCAGCTTCTGAAGCTCAGGAGAAGGAGGCAAACCTATATGGGGGTCTTCAGCACTAGGGTGTTAAGAGTGTGGCAGAAACAAGTGCCAGGTCAATCTCTGTGATAGATTTGGCACCACAATATCAAGGTTTAGTAAATGGAACAATTTAGATCAAACAACTAATGCCCCTGTCTGATTCTGTACTCACGATCTATTTGGATCACTGTGTAGACTTGCCTTTTAGGAGGAAAAAGCATACTTGTCCACACTTATAAGTTTCTTACCCTTGATGAGTACATTTCTCATTTTAATAATTCTAATTTTTGTACATATGTCTTTTAAAGATTTACTTACCTGTGTTGGGTCACCAAAAGCTGAATCATTCACCATGGTGCTCCAACAAAGTTAAATTTCTGAGGCCCAAAAAGTGGTTGAAATGAGAGGTAGGTAGTCAGGGAAGACCACCCTGAGAAGGCAAAATTTAACCAGAGATCTAAGGAAGGGCAATTAGTGGACAGGTAGAGTGTGGTGGGAGAGGCACTCTTGGTAAAGGGAACCTTGTGATAAAGGCTGTGAGACAAAAAGACAATTGATGCTTTCAGAGAGTTAGAGAAGATTGGTGTGGCTGGAATATAGTGATGAAAGGCCTTTAGAATGAATTCAGGAGAGCAATTAGGAGCCCATTGCAAAAATGCTGAAGAGAGGTGATGGTGACTTGAATTTCAGCAGAGATTGGAAAATGTTCACAGATGTGAGACAGGAGGTGGAATCATCAGAACTCAGTGATGGGTAGATAATGGGGGATTAGGGAAAGGGAGGCATCAGAAACAACCTTCTGATTTCCAGCTTGGGAAATGAGGTGGATGGTGGTGCCACACAATCACATAGGGCACTGAAGAGCCCTTCTCTTCCCCTGCTACACATTCTTCCTGGCCAATCCCATCCTTCTCAAGCTTCAATCCAGATCTTAAGTTCAACTGCCCAAGGGGACTATTCCAAAAGCACCTCCTCAAACTCAATGCATCTAGGACAAAACTCATCTTCCTCACTATTCTATTCTTCCCATGTTGAACTGTAATCATGTCCAAGCTGACCATTTGTCACGTAACAGCCAATACATCAAAAGATAAGGTGTCAAAGCAAAGAAAGTGACTTCATTTGGAAAGCCAGAAAACCAAGAAGATGGCAGACTAGTATCCCAAAGAACCACCTTAAGTTCATAGGAACTTCAGTCCCCTTTTTATGTTAAGGGAAGGGGGAAGACAAAAGAGTTGAAGTCAAGAGGTGACTAATGACCACAGACATCTGGGTACCAGCAAGGGTCGAGGAACCCCTTTGTTCTTGGTCAATTGACTTTGGATTACATAAGTCAGGGCAGGTTTTTAACATAACATTGTTACTTATGTGTACACAATCCTTATCTCCTCAGGAGTTAGTTTTGGGAAAGGGACTATTCCTTGATATTATCTTGGGGACTAGCAGCTGCCTTCTAGAAGAAAGAACTTTGAAACCAGAGATACAATAATATTTAAAAGATTGCTTATAATCATGAGAGTTTGAGAATTTTTATGGGGAAACATCTTATCTGCATTATAAAATATTTACAAAATAAGTTAAAATTAGCTAAGAGAGTTATTGGTTTTTTATTTTCTTTCTTTTTTTTTGAGACAGAGTCTCAAGCTGTAGCACTAGGTAGAGTGCTATGGCATCACAGCTCACAGCAACCTCAAACTCTTGGGCTTAAGCAATTCTCTTGCCTCAGCCTCCCAAGTAGCTAGGACTATAGGCAGCCATACAACACCTGGGTGTTTTTTTGTTGCACTTGTTTTAGCTTGCCCGGGCCAGGTTTGAACCCACCAGCTTCAGTGTATGTGGCCAGCACTCTACCCATTGAGCTATGGACACCGCCTGAGTTATTGACTCTTAATGAACCAAATCAGGAATTGTGCAAAGGAGATGGTATCAGAGTCATTGTGAAAGGTAGCACCATCTACCCAATCAGACAAGCCATAAACAGGGTGCCATCCCTGACTTCTCTCACCAGAAATAGCCAAATTCTGAGGCTCCTACATCCTTGATAGCCCCATTCATTTATCAATTGA